GAGGGGACACGGGGGACACTGAAGGAGCACGGGGGACACCGGCTGGGACATGGGGGACACTGACGGGACACGGGGGGGACTGCGTGGGGACACGGGGGACACTGAAGGAGCACGGGGGGACACTTTAGGGGACACCCGGGACTGAGTGGGGACACGGAGGACTGTGAAAACACCGGGGGACATTGAGGGGACACCGGGGACTGTGACGGGACACGGGGGGACAGTGTGGGGACAGTGTGGGGACACGGGAGGCTGCGGGAAAACCCGAGGGGACCGTGAGGGGACACCAGGGGGACCGTGAGAAAACACTGGGGGAACTGCACGGGGACACGGGGGAATTCTGTGGGGACACGGGGGGACAGCGTGGGGACACTGTGGGGTGTGAAGGGACAGGGGGAGAAGTGCAGGGATATGAGGGAGCACTGAAAAAAAAATGGGGGGACACTGAAGGGACACTAGGGGACACTGAGGGGACACGGAGGACAGTGAGGGGACACGGGGGACACTGAGGGGACACGGGGGACAGTGAGGGGACACGGGGGACACTGAGGAGACACGAACAGACACTGAGGGGACACGGGGGACAGTGAGGAGACACGGGGGGCAGTGAGGGGACACGGGGAGCACTGAGGGGACACGGGGGACGGTGAGGAGATACTGGGGACAGTGTGGGGACACGAAGAGACACTGAGGGGACACGGGGGACACTGAGGGGACACAGGGGACAGTGAGGGGACACTGAAGGGACACGAGGGCAATGCCCACGGCTGCCGTGGGACGGTGTCCGGCTGGTGTGAGTGGGCACGGCCACACGGCCACACGGCCACGGTGTCACGGGTGTCACCCCTCCCGTCCCCTGCCTGGCGGCTCGGTGGCGTTTAAAGGACATCGGGGTGGCGGGGTGCGAGTGGCACCATGTGACCGCGCAGGGACACACGAGCAATGTCCCCACCCCGCTCTGTCCCGGGGCCACCCTCGGGGACACCCCCGCGTGTGCCCGGCCCCATTGGGCCCGCACGGAACCCCGGTAGCTCCGGTTTCGTTGCCGGAGCCGCCGCTCCGGGCGAGCCAGAGGTGTCCCCGGTGCCGGGGGGGTTGGGGACACCCCTGCAGGCCTTGGGGACACCCCAGCCCCGGGTCTGGCTGTCCCCAACCCCGCCAGGGTTTCCCGAGGCTGGGCGCGCTCCTCCCGGCCCGGCCCCGCCGCGCCCGCTCTGATGGAAAAGAAATAAAACGAAATTAAAGGGAATTAAACGAAATCGGGGGGGCCCGGTCCGGCAGCAGCCCTGGACAGCCCTGCCCCGACACCGAACCCGCGGCCGAACCCGCCGGCACCGGGGGGACCCGGCCAGCGCTGCCACCCGCGGTGTCCCCACCCCAAACGGGTGCGGGGCCGCGGGGCCGGGGATCCGGGAGCCCTCGGCAGTCCTGGG